GTGAAGATGATTCAATAAAGGATTATCGGCCTTGTGGTAAAAAAATCCAGAATTTAAGAAATTGAAATTAAAAGAATTCCAGTCGACGTTTTGGTTCCAGTTCGGAAGCCCTTATCAGGACAAAAAACTCATTCAAAACTTTATTATTCTTATTAGTAATATTCTTTAGCTATCCGATAAGTTTGCTCCGGCATTAAATTTAGAATTTGCTCGGTCGTTAAATTTGAGTGAGAATTACATGGCTTAGAAGAATTTAAATAATTTGAGAACATACGGTCGAGAACCTCGATTACATTTAAATGAAATTTTGACTCATTGTAGCTATTATTCAGCTCAAGTTTAGGGCGCTGTTTCAGCCCGATCAGTCCAGTAGTTCCGAAGATATAACAAATTTTGTTTAAATTTCATTTTTCCTCAATATCTCAAAAACTACTGCACCGATTTCATTTTTTTTCAAAATACTCGTCTTGATGGCCTCTATGTAGGTCAATCAAAATATATAAACTCTCTAATGCACAGTTGGGAGATATTGCCGTTTTCCCGTTTTTCATGAAAAATTTTGTACGCATGATAACTTGAGTAAAAAAGAAGATGGCAAGTTGAAATTTGGTATGGTTCAAGCTCTTATAACACCGAAGGTTGCTATTTTGCATGGACGCAATCGACTGAGCGGTTCCTGAGATATGCAACCCTTCGTGTAAATATATTTCTTCAAATATTTCATGAACTACTTGACGGATTTCAATTTTTTTTCAAAATACTCGCCTCGGCAGCCATTATCTGGATCAATCAAAAAATATATATCCCTTCATACAATGTTTCCGAAATATTCCCGTTTTTTCGTTTTTTAAATTTTTTCATTCTTGTAAGCACAATAACTTGAGAAAAAATGGGGATAGTAAGTTGAAATTTTGATATGATTATAGTTCTTACAATACTGAAGGTTGGTATTTTGCATAGGCGCAACCGGCCGAGCGGTTCGGTTTCGGAAATATTTTGTATAAATCTTTTTCATTAAAAGATTAAATATTTGTATGGCATTTCCCTCATGAGGTAACCAATCTAGTTTTAATTTAAGAATTCAGATATTGCAATGAAATAATTACCGAATTGGGAATTCTTAGAAGTATATAATCTATGACTTTCGTGAAAAAATTGAGGACAAGCGGTATTATAACCTGATACAAGTCTACTTATATGCAGTGGAAAAAAAACTGTATAGGAACATGGTGAAAATGGTGTAACCTTGTCAGGCGACCTCGATCGCCTTCACCATCAGGTGGCAAAAAGAGAGAAGTGCAGGAGAGAGGGAGACAGACAACCAAATCGAGGAGAGGGAGCCAGCGATGCAGGCGATATAAAACAGGAGTACAGAGAGAGTGAGAGAGATGAATAACAACTCCGAGTGTTGGGCGCATGCTTTCGAAGATCGTATCCGTACAATAAAAGCCTGACGATCGTCGTGGAGGAACTCTCACTTTTTCCGATGGACTGACTTTAATTAACGAAAGACGAATTCCGAAATATTGAAAATCGGGAGAGTGAGTTGTAAAATTTTCACTCTTAACACAGCCGCCGAAGGTGAAGTACTTTTGAGAGGGTGCCCGGAGGAAAATCCGTTAAAAATTCCCTTATTTTTAAAGGTTTTCCCCAGAACAAAGTGTAGTATCTTATGCCATAAGGCGATAAAAGTATTATCTGGCGAATGCGAGTTTAATCAGATTCACCAGATAATGCTTTTATCGCCGTGTGATATATGATATTTTATATCATCTCGATATAAAATATATGTCGCTTCGCTCGGTTAGATCGCGGTTTTCGGGCCTAATGAAAAATATTTTTTATAACCACAAAATACCACTCTTATAAGATCAAATATTCAATTTAGACTCCGCAGACTCAATTATGAAGCAGAATGAGATTGAACTAATAGTCGAATAATAATTGTCGCATGAACTAAATTATGTAGTGGTCCGTGCATGATTTAAATGAAATAGAAAAAATAGTCGAATCAAATGTGAATCATTCTACAAACGTCAGAAAACATTTGTACCATCGAGAATAGGTATATGGTGAGGAATATTACATGTACAGATGATGTGAAAAGGAAAACTATAAGGTCTTGTATTTCATTATCAATTCATGTGGTCCTCCTATAAATTTCGCCACCTTTGCTATGAGTTCTAGAATCATACCCTTCGTCTGACGCACATAGTAAAAATAGGATTCATTAGTGTCAAGGAACTTTTGAGATGGTGCTAGTGCTTCATTGTTCGTTTCCAATTAAGAAAATAAAGCATTAGCTTCATTTTCCACTAGTAATTCCATGCACTATTAGAAATTTTTTGAAATTTCATGGAAGATATTATAGTAAATCTCATGAGAGTGAAAAAATGGTTATGAAATTTCAAGTTTTAAGTAGAATTTACAGAAATTCATGAGTTTTCAGCGGGAGTGAGATGGAAATTTCACAAGTTGATTGAATTTTTAGTGGAACATGAATATTCAGAGACAAAAGTACATGAATTTTCCCCAAATTTTCCTAATGTTTCTGAATTTTCACAGAAGAATGGAATTGAAAAATCAAGTATTTTATTGATTTCCAGATTACTTGAACAAGATTTCCTGAAATTTCAGTGGAACTTGGACACGATAAAAATTTCCGGAATTTGGTACGGAAAATTCAGACGAAAATTTTCAACAGTCTAGCTATTGTCGGCCGAGTGATGGACATAATTTTTTCTTACAATGTCCGTAAACGGCCTTTTACGGACAGTGTGATGAAAAATAACTATTGATTTCACTTTGATGACACTTTCAACAATGTTGTAGATCTTTAAACGGAGAAATATTGAAAAATAATAAAGCACCGAAGTGTTGATTGCGGCCATTTTTCATTCATTTCATCATGAGATATAGCAATGGCGCTCTCGACCTCAGTGCCGTGAAATTCACACGTCGGTACAAATTTTCTAGTCATTTGGTGTAAATCTTGCGGAGAGAATATTGACTTTTCTTAAATAACTAATTGAAATCCACTATTTTTCAATACTTGTATTAATTTCGATTTGGTCCAAGGTTAATGATGATTGAAAAAGGTTATCATTTACTAACAGATCCACTTATCACATCAATAAAACTCGTTAATCATTAATAGCGAACGAATAAGAAATATTCGACATATTATGGTAACCAATGACTCTTATAACACTTGACGAATAGCAAACAAAAAATTCTACTATTGTAGTAATAATTTTTTCTAATTGACTGTTTGCCACTCTAGACAATCTACGTTAGCTAATGGATGTTTCATCAGTTTCACGACGGTCGGTTTTTCATCAACAGTGTGTTTTAGTGTCTTTATCACTTTATCTTCTCGGTCCTCTCCACATGTCTTAATTAATCTGCTCAGCGTTATTCCGGCATGAGCTAATCGTTGGCGTACGTGAATTATACACTTCGTCTGTTACTAATTTATCATTTCCACTTTTAGTTTTTTTAACTGGAGACAAACGATCGCTTTTTAATGTTTTTATAACTGCCAATAGATTCAATATGGGCAATCCATAGGTTATAGACCGCACAGTCTGCAAAAATTAAATGGTCACTTCGTGCGAAATTGCCACTTCATCTATGCGTTTTTTTATAATTTCCATAGATATAGATAAATTTTGGGAAAATAATACAATACGCGTAACTGATCGAACAGATCGACAAGAAAATCGAAACAAAAAACGTCAATATTATAATGGAGAAATTTATTTGAAATGTTTTATTATTTGTGTTCAGCGATTGAAGCAGCAGTCGAGAGCAGTAGGACTTCCGTCTCCCCCCCCCCCCCCCNCCCCCATATCCAGAGTCAAAACACCTTAATGAATTTTTTCGAATTATGAGGGATGAACTTCAAAGATCTTCCTATATATATTTACACTCAGAGATAGAATGCCGAGGAAAACAAAATTTTGTCCTCCTAAAAAATTCGTTTTTAAAAAATATCGCGAAATCTAAAGGAAATAGAGAAATTTTTAATAATTTTTTTTTGTAAAGTAGAATGAGATGTACAAGAAATGAGATGTAGAAGAAAGCTAAGGTACTGAGGATTGTCTCTAACATAACGGTTAGGAGATCAATAATCCTCATTTCTTGTAAATTAGAAACGAAAACATGATTCATCCAGATGGTAAAACTGAATACAACAATTCTGAGGGTAAAAAAGTGTATTGCTACTCATGTTGGGATTAACTTTCATGGATGAAGCTAAACCAGACTCTCATTACTACGAAACAAAATCTACTTCTGGATTTCTGCAAGGACAATAATTATTTTTAAAAATTCTGAATCAAGTTATTTAAAAAGAGGAGAATAGAAAAAAATTGAATCTAAAAAAATTAAAGTCGAGAAATTCCGGCGAGATACCGGAACGTTCATGATTTTATGAGTGTCTTTCTAATTGTCGACAGATGGTCCATGTTCTCCTAACTTAGTAATCAATTTTTAGTTTTTTCTTGTTAAGTCAGGCAGTTCAGGCAGTCTTGTTAAGTCAGGTAGTTCACTTAAAACTTTTTCATCAGGGATATTCAATTTTCATTTTTTGATTTTTCCCCGCTTCTTATCGACTCCATTTTATTTATCAATTATTAGTGAATTCTATGTACTGATTTTATTATTTTTTAAGTCACGCAACTTAATTTTTTTTAGCTAACCTAGTCGTGGGAAACTTCATTGAGTCTTTGTCAGTGGAATCCCATGATTCGTTTATCAACTGGCTGTCTAGCGCTCTCGATTATGTCCCCATCAGGTTCACCTAATGATTCTCAGACAAATTCATCACGTGAAACTGATATTTCAACTTGATGAAATTTATATTGAGGATTATATTGATTCCCCGAAATTATTGCAAAAAAACCATCATCCGTTCTCCAAACATTACAATGACCGGTATTACCTGTTTCCACCCTATAAGCAATACATATTCTCATGATGAAATTCATTTCACTTACCCCTTCGTTTCCTGAGAATTGTATCGTAGGATTCTGACTGGTTTTATTCTGAAAAAAAGAAAAAACATTTATAAAAAATCGAAGAACAGAATTACCGTCACGTGCGATTGCCTTTCAAATTGCGTTGGAACAATTCGGGAATGTTGAAGATAACATACAGTTTGTACACAATAGAGATAATATTCTCGTACATGGAGAAAAAGAGTGAAATTCCAGATGTTATAATTGAATACGTCAATTAAATGACGCAAGAACTGATACGACAAGGAAGTTCGAAGATGAGACTATCGTATAATTGTCAATCTCACTTATGAAAATAAAGAAAATGATTGAAGTACGCAAGAAATTTACCACGTTTCTGTTTGTTACATAAATGGTATTGATGTAACACCATAAAAAATTGAAACCTGACCAGTAAATCAAAGTGCCAAATTTGTGTTCATTGTTTGAAACAGAAATAATAAATCTTAAAAATTGTCTCATTTAAATGAATCAACTGAAATAGTTTTTCATTTTTCAAGAAAATTTTTTGAATACTATTTAGTATACATGTTTTAACAATATGGTTTCACAGGAATAATGAAGAATCAAGGTTATCAACTGAAGCGGATTTGAATAAACATTTGGAAAACATAATTCCAAGTCGCTAACCAGTTGCAACGTCACGAAAAAATAATCAGCTTGAACGAGGTTGCCGGTTTGTGTACTTTATATATACATGTTATAAGTTGCCAACGAATTCGGCAACGCCGCCAACTGGTTCACTTTCTCTCAACACAGCAAACTCCAATTTCTGTATACTCTGTCTACCCATACCTACTGCAACCCCCTTCACTCTTCAATGATTTTTCCATCGAATTCCAATCGATAGTTCATTGCAGATCAAGACGCAAAGCCTCGATATATTAAATCACGTGAAGAAAAAATTAGATATTTTTGTAAAAATTAAGACGAAAAATAATTTCTAATGTCCAATATCTTCAAGATTATCGTTTGAAAACTACTTTAATCTTTGACACTGTTAAAGTATAAAAATCTTGTTGACAAAAGTTTTGATAATCTGGTCATAATGCTTACTATATATATTTCGGAAATGCTTTTTCTCATCAAATGTCACATGCGAAATTGATGGAAAAATGCAAAATGGACGTTGAAAAAATTTGAACTCATGTACCGTTTATTTATATTTCCTCTGCGATAAAATAATAAAACTTCGTTCTGTGCCGTCGAGTCATCGAATCATTTGTACGATAAGCAATCGTTTTCAAGTTTCACGCTTGGAAGCCTACCAAGGAAATCTTGGTGGGTGCCAAATATACATAGTTATACATATTTCATTCGCACTGTCAGATAATGCGGGAATAATAGTATTTTCATCACGCTGTGACGAAAAGTGAACTTTTCGGCACGCTCCGCGTGCCTAAAAGTCCAATTTCCGCCACATTGTGATGAAAAATATTTTTTGACACTGCTGCTACATTCACCTCGTGTCGAAAAGTGCCTTTTCGTTTACTCGTAAACGAAAAGTCTTTTCGTTTACTAGTAAACGAAAAAAGGCACAGTTCGCCACTCGCTGAACGTAACATCACTGTCAAAAACTATTGTTCGACACATGTGAGACAGGAATTTTCAGCTCGTGTGATTGGCAGTCCTCGGCTTCGCCTCGGGCCGCCAACTTCACACTCGTGAAAATTCTGTCTCACTCGTATCGAAATATACTAGTTCGTAACTCGTGAAAAAATGTTTTTTAACTCGTGGAATTATATCACTCGCCTTCGGCTCGTGATATAAACCTCCCACTCGCCGAAAAACACTTTTTTGCACTCGTTACGAAATATACTATTTTGCACTCGTTACGAAATATACTATTTTGAAACACGTGTTTGGAAAAGTCCCTTTTCGTCACTTTTAAAGTTGTAAACGAAAAGTAACTTTTCGTTTACGGGATTCACTTTTCGTTTACGGGATTTACTTTTCGTTCACGGGATTCACTTTTCGTTTACAACAGCTGACTTTATAGTTACAAGTTTAGGGTTCACTTCTATGTCACCGTTTGAAAGATGGCACCAGTCGGTACGTTTTCGACCAATCCAGTATCGTTATTCCTGTAACTATGTGCGCCGCTAAAAACATCGGTCTACTCGTCTTGACTGAATTAAATCAGCCATACGGCAGCCATTACACGTTAGTCGGTCGCCTCTCATCCGTAAATCAAAAGTATTTGCAAAAAAAAGTGAATTAACGGTTAAAAAAACGCAACGACATGTCAGAAGATGGACTTTCTGATTCGCAGTATGCGAATCCTCCAACTACTCCTGAGTTGCAAGAAAAATACGCTTAAGCACGAAGGAATTTTCTGCCAGCAAAATCAGGGGGGCTCTACACAAAGAGCTGCGACAATTTTCTGAAATGGAAAAATCATAATAAGACCACATTGACTTCTGCTCGTGTGCTGCTGTCATATTTCACTGAATTATCCGAGATCCGTGCCCCATCAACCTTGTGGAGTGAGCACAGCAAACTAAAAAGCACCCTCAAACTACATCACGGGGTCGATATTGGGAGCTACAGTGAACTGACAGCATTTTTGAAGAAGCAGTCCAAAGGCTATGAGCCCAAGAAGGCTCCTGCCTTCACTGGACTCCAGGTGGAAGACTTTTTGCTGAATGCAAATGATTCACAGTACTTGTTTGAGAAGGTAAGTCTTTATTATTGTTAAATATATTGCAAATGAATTTTTGTCACTAGGGTCGATGAATCGCGATTCTAACCTCGCTTCGGTTCAGATTTGTTGACCTAATGATGTAATTTACCATGCACAAATATATTTTCTAGAAAAATCTTGCAAATTTGCTCGAAAATTTTATCAAACTTTCTATTCATCTTCGGGCAACTTTACTGAAAAATTTCGCAGCTTCTCTGCACATTTTTTTTCAATAGGAATTTTAAAAGGAAATATTTTATTTAAAAAATCAATAAACTTTGATTTTTCTATACAACTCATTCTATGGAGATATTTTTTATAGAAATTTCACGGCGCAAATTTTCAAAATTTTTTGTTTGATTTTTGAGGAAAGAACTTTGAAAATTTATGTTGAAGAATTCTTATAGAAAATATCTCAAAAGAAAATATTGTACAGAAAGATGAAATACTACCGATTTTTTTCATAAAATCGTTGCTATTGGACAGTTTTCTCTACAAAAACGCGCAGTAAGGCTACATAATTTTTCAATGGAATCAGCCAAAAACCAATAAAATTTTCAACAGAAATCCAGTAGGATTTCCTATCGAATCCACTAGGTTTTTCTACGGAATTTTTTGTGCAGAATTATTTGGCGTTAAATTTTTTTTCCCATTTATTTTACACCCGTTCTTTCAGGCTGCACTAGCAATTGGTCTTCTGGCAGCTTCCAGAAGAGAGGAGTTGGTAAACATGAGAACGGTCGACATGGAACTCTTCTACTCTGATACAGACCGACAGCAGAAGAATCCTATGATTATTGTCAAGACCCCAAAGTCAAAGAATGGAGAAGCCAGGTACTCCACAATTAAAGGCGGGTTCTACCAAATTGTACGACGCTACGCTCGTCTTCGTCCAAAAGATGTTGACAACAAAATGGGAAATGTGCCAAACACTATTGCTAAGTTCTTGGGACTACCGAAGCCTGAACGTTACACTAGTCACACCATTCGTCACACTGCAGCATCGTTGTTTGTTGAGGGTGGTGGTACTATGGAGGATTTAAAGAGGCTTGGTGGATGGAAAAGCGAGATTGCAGCCAACGGGTACGTTACCCACTCAAAATCAAGCAAAGAAAAAATCTGTGACAACATCACAAGTACAATAAGCCTGCCTGGCCCTAGTTCTGCATCAGGATCAGCTGCATCATTGCCAAAGGCATCTACCACGAAGGACACAGCTGGTTCTAGCTTTGGATCGAGTTCAGTTGGATTATTAACCAAAACATCTTCCACGAAGACCACTGCTGGCTTTAACTCCGAAAATCGATCATTCATGGATCTCAGCAGGATCAGTATCTAACAAGGAGAACGCCATACCAATTGAGAATCAGACCGTTGGTCAAGAATTCAACTGGAAACTCAGCAATTGCACAAATATCACCTTCCACATTTCAAAAAAGGAGAATTCCTAAACGTAGCTGTAAAGCTAGACTTGGTTACTTATGAGAGAAAAGTCTATTTGATTTTCGAAGACCACACTAATGATATAGAACAAATTTTTGTTTCGTTTTTCTTCTGCAAGTGCTAAAGAATACGCTCATCTCATTTTTTGAAAGCACCAATTGCGCATCAATTGCATAATTTGTTTTTGTTTTTGTTTTTATTTTTTCTGAGTGTTCAAGAAAATCTTCTTTATGTATAGAAAAAAAATGTAACCAAAAAAATAACGTTTGTTAGGCAAGAAAAGAGGCTATATGATTTTTTAAGAGTAGATAATCAGTTAAAGATGTTCAATTCTGCTTTTCTCTTTCAGTGCAAAGGAATGTTTATTATTTTAAAAAGGAAACCTAATGAGAGAAGACTGTTGAGGAAAAGAAGAGTCCATTTAATTTTCTAAGAGTAGGTGATCATTTAAAAATGTCCATTTTTGCGTTCCTCTTTTTTTAAGTGCAAAAAGAAAATGTTTATTATGTTAAAGAAAAAGCTTAACCGCAAGAGAATTTCGTTTAGAGAAAGAAGAGTCTATTTGAGTTTTTTAAGAGTACGTAATCATTCAAATATTTCCATTTTTGTACTTTTTCATTAGAGAGTACAAAGAAAAATGTTTATTTCTCCACGTTTTATTAATGATGATATGTTTACACTTAGGCAGCTATGTAAGTCACATTATTCATAAATAAATACAAGATTCGACCTGGATTTCTTAGGCAATAAGTTGGATTTCACAAGGATTTCATGAAGCATTCCCTCGTCATCCTTCATGTTAGTCAAAACATCAATCCCACAATAGGATGACTTTTTCAAACACTTATTTCAAAAAATAGTAAACGTTACACGTGTGAAAAAGGGGGAACGTTAAACTCGT